CCCCCCAAAGGGGTCGCGACCCACTGGTTGAGAACCACAGCTCCCAATTAAGAAAGAAGCAAACCCATCTTCTTAATAAAAGCCAAGAGGGAAGGAGACTTTAACCTGTTCGTGTTGCTATCATGAGTGCGAAGACCCGCTGACACTGAGCTGAGGCCAACTCACAGTGACTCTGTAGGGCAGAGAACTGTCCCATAGGGTTCCCAAGGCCGGCATCTGCGCAGAAGCAGGCAGCCAGGGCTTTCTCCTGGGTTTTGAACCACCAACCTTGTGGTTAGCAGCTCCCTGCGAAGCCCCATTGTGCCACCAGGACCTGTATTATAGGGAAGGGTGTCAATCCTACTCTTGAATCATTGCATGTCAATCATCTACAATGGCACTGTCCAAGTCGATGGAAAGGCTCTATACTTGGGCTGCCTACCAGTCGCCTCTAGTTACCTGAGACTATGGGCACTTGGAGTGAGATTAGTGCAACTGAGTGAGTCGATTGTAAGTTTTCACGATTCAATGCGATTGTTCTTTTCTTCAGTCATCTGTGGATGGTGGCTATAGGACTCTGCTAGAGCCGTTTCAAAGCACCGGCGGGATCAGGTGTTTTCCGAGGGGATCGCAAATACTGGGGGTGGGGGAATGGCTATGGATTTAGAGCCATAGAAAGGTCTTCAGAGGTGATGCTCTGGTTTTGAGTGGTGGTGGTTGACGACACCGTCTCGCTAATGGATGCAGAGAATGAAGGAACCGGCCTGGGCACGGGTCTGTTCCCATAGGGCGATGAAAGGATAGGGAGGGAGAAGTTCATTAGCCATGACTCAACACGAGGCCCAACGATCCGTTCAGGATCACTTCTGAATTATTTTTGGCTCATGCCCCCATGGGGAAGGGTTGAGGGGAGGAGGTGGAATGGCCAAAACAAGAAAAAGGAGAGGAAAGAATAATTAAAGGAGAAGTTAATGTGATCTCGTGCCTGACACTGGGAGCAGGTGATTTTGGCAAATCCAGACTAGCGAGCTTCTAGGTCTTCCCTGAGGTAACAGGAGGTAATGTCCCGCCCTCCCTGGCCCCCAGGCCTCAGTGGGCTCAGGTCCCCTGCCTTCACTGCCACCCTTCAGGCCTCCCCTGGGACAAGCATGGAATGAGGCTCACTCCTCCGTGAGCCCCCAGGCCTCCTCCGAGGGAAATGTGATATGATTCCCACCCTGAGTGCAACTTAATGATAAGGTTGTCTCTGGTTCAGCAGCAATTGACAAGCACTGCTCAGACGATGACACTGGGATTTCACTGTCGCCAGTGTCTCAGGTCGCATTACCTGACTCATTGCGTGTCCCCTCGTTTCTGGCAGGGGAGCAAATGGAAACTCCAGTGGGGATCGATTAAGAGAGCCGTGGTCAAGCCAGATACTAAAGATAACTGTTGTCTGTGTCTGTGTGTGGTGTTTATCCCTAGAGAAGGGGAGGACACCAGCTCTGTCTTCGAAAGGGCAGAATTCTTGGCCCCTTGGGGGCTGGGGTCTGCGTCACTTCCCGAGGTTGGTTGGCCAAAAGGCCATCCATCGTCCCTCTGATGGCACAAGTGTGTTGTGAGAGAACGGAGGGCTGCACCGACGCGTTAGACATGCCACCTGCGCCCGGCAGCGATGTCCTTTGCAAACATCTCACCTTGTGCTCCTGGGTTTTGATCGGCTTCGAAGGCATCCAAAGAAGTGAAAAATACTGTGAAGTGCTCTAACCTGAAGCACAAACAACGACTACTTGTACATGTGATGTCTACATTTCCTTCCCAGCCAAACAAGAGAGCTACCATCAGGCGACGGATTGACCAAAGCAACCCATTTGCCAATGTATTCTACAGTGTTCTCACTATCAACAACGTGCAGAACCACGACAAGGGGCTCTACACTTGTTACGTCAGGAGTGGGCCGTCACTCAGATCGGCCAACACCTCAGTGCATGTATATGGTAAGCAGTTCCACCTTGTTCGCAGCCTCTCCTCTGCTGTACTTCCTCATTCCTGTGGACTCCAGAGGTTCTGGAAAATAAGTCTCTCTTCTTTGGGTCCAGCATGACAACATTGCAAACGAATGAGACTTTGCTACATTCCCTCCTCTTCCCCTTAGATCCCCACCAGAGAGAAAATCCAGTCACATGCTCTTCAATTCACATACCTTTGAACGCTGTTTCTTTCTAAATGTGCTGTGGCCGACAAGTCAGCCAGGTGCTACTGTAATCTCGCTCATGAAATTCTTTAGTTACTATTACATGGAAACCAATCTGAAGCAGAGGGCTCATTTTCCTGGAACCTCCCTGTCCTGGATTCTTAATACAGCAGAGCCCGGGTGGTGGGGTGGCCAGGCGTCAGGCTGTTAACCGCCAGCAAGGTGGGTAGTTTGAAACCACCAGCTGCTCCTCAGAAGAAGGACCAGGCTTTCTACCCCCGTAACGAGTTACAGGGAAACCTCCAGACGCAGTTCTACCTGGTTCCAAATGGTCATTAGAGTTGGAATCGACTTGCTGGCAGTGAATTCAATGATATATATACCCAATACAGGGTTCCCGAGACTGTACGTCTTTACATCCACCCCTTAACAACAGCACCTCTAGGGCTTCATATCACACACACACACACACACACACACATACACACACACCCCAAAACCCAAACTCATTGCCATCGAGTTGATGCCAACTCACAGCGACCCTGTTGGACAGGGTAGAATAGCCCCTCTGAGCTTCTGAGACTGGCGCTCTTCAGTGGCGACTGTTTTGATGGCTCTGGGATTTAGGACCACTGCCTTTCCAAGCGTTTCACCAAGGAGGGTGCTGTTGATGTATCCGAATTGGTGACCTGCATGGGGGCCTACTAATAAACTCAATCATAACTTAACTCTATCGATTCCTCGGTGGTAGAGCCCTGGTGGCACCGTGGCTTACCTGTTGGGCTGATAACCACAAGGCCAGCAGTTCAAAACCACTAACCCATCCACAGGAGAAAGATGGGATTTTCCACTCCTGTGGGAAAAGTCAGTCTCAGAAACCCCAGGGGCAGTTTTACCCTGTCCTAGAGGGATGCTGTGAGTCAGCACCGACTCCGTGGCCGTGAGTTTGGGAATTCCTGGGCTAGGACCGTTCTCCCTGGATGAGCAGGCTGCTGCTGGGCTGTTTGTTCTTCTGGTATAGCTATGTATTTGTCCTGACGTGCCTATCACTTCCGTTCAAAGATAAAGCATTCATCACTGTGAAGCATCGGGAGCAGCAGGTGCTGGAGACCACAGCCGGCAAGCGCTGTTACCGGCTGTCCATGAAAGTGAGGGCCTTCCCGCCCCCAGCAGTTGTGTGGTAAGCCCCAATTCACTGCTTAAAGATATCAGGTTGAGATACGCATGGGAGGAGAAAAATGCAAGAGCCCACTGACTTGACGTCTTTGTGTGTGTGTGGGGAACTCCAAACTTAGGTTGCCCAGCCTGAGCGCTGAGAACTGAATTGATTTCCTGGTGGGGGGATGGGAGAGTCGGGGTGGGGGCTAGCGGAGCAGGATGGAGCAAGGGATTCGGTTTCCTTGGGTGTTCATGTCACGTTGGTCAGTGGATCCTGGTGACTAATGTCGGCATCTGTGAACCTTGCGCTGATGTCAGCACCCTTTGAATGGGCGGGGCCATGACTCGGCTGCGTCTCCAACCATGTAGCATGCTCTATTAACCCTGAAGAAGCAGACTCTTGTCCCGCGGAGGCTGGAAATAATTCTTTTATGTACAGCTGGATGGAGAGTTCTAGTCTTGTTTTTAAATTAAGCAGACATTCCTCGAGACGAGTTCGATTCAGTTGCAGGCATGGGAGAATAGATCTGCTTGAACTAAAAAAACATTTTTTTTTGGCTCCATGGTTGCATATTCAGAAGTTCTTGAAGCAATTTTTTTTCAATGCAACACCTTGATACAAAACAATGTAATCTGGTTTATAATCTGCAGTCCGCTTGTTAAATCACTTTTAAATACTAATATTTTTGGCTCAAGCCATTGCGTTTTTAACAAAAGGCCCCGGACAGAGGTGATTAGGAAAACAACCCGGGACATATAGAAGCGGTGGTGCCCGTGTTACATACTCTGCAGCCAGGGCTGACTTTTGAGATTGTGGGGACAGGGGGTGGTTTTCCATTTCCTCAACCAGGTAAGGAGGAGTCGACGTGGAAATGTCAACGCTGTTCTGTGCCCCTGTGCCGCCTGCCTCAGCTGCAAAGGGAACTCTGTTGACTTACTTCTTTTGCTTTGTGATGTCGAAAAAGTCTAGCAGTACACTTCCCACACGTGTCGCGGGCCTCTGACCCTCCCCAGAGCCCATCTGCTCCTTCTCTGTCTGAAAGGGTCCCTGCTAGGATCAAGTGCTGGCTCCTTCCCGGGCTCAGTAACAAGAAGTCCAGCTCCCCAGCCTCCCCTCAGATCCATTCCATTTGGGGCAAGGCGGACTTGGTGGTAGACAGTTCGTTCATCAACTTGAAGGTGACTTTTGTCATGACCCGGCGGAAGCTGTCTTGGAGTTGAGACCCAGGAGCAATACGGATTTATTTTCAGGATGATGTAATCAACCGTAGACCTTTGTGAACACCACAATCAATTCTTCTTTGTTTAAAAAATCATTTTATTGGGGGCTCATACAACTCTTATCACAATCCATGTATCCATCCATTGTCTCAAGCACATTACACCACAATACATTCTTAACTGATTAAGAAACAAATCAACCATCATGTAGAGAACTGTTTGCAGTCATGAGATCATAGAATTTTAGAGTTAAAAGAAAGCTTCTGGCAGGGAATCTGAGGCTCGAGCAGGTTCGGTCACAAGGGCAGCCTCGTGCAGTGGATCCAAAATCAAATTAAGAATCCAGGGCTCTCGGCTTTAGGATCTGGACGTCATCAGAGGCTATTGACATGTGGACTTGCGTTTTAAAAATTAAAAATGAATAATGAGTGTCGACTTGCTGTGTGCGAGTCTTGTGTCTGCACTGTCCATCAGGGGAAACTCTGGGAAATCTTGGATTTCACTATACTTTATGAAAGGGACAACTGGTGTGGCCATTTGAATAACTAATAAGAACTCCACATGAGATCACAATAGCAAGATCTATTTTCGTTTTTTATCTGGAGAAGTGATCTGGTTGGTCCTGACGTACAATGGCCCTGTCTTGCCGGTGGAGTCTCATGGAAAACTCCGGAAGCGATCTTGGGTGGACTCAGCCATGGTACCTCTGGGTTAGCATTTAACTCACAGTGGTGCCACAGGGCTACATCAAGTCCTGGCTCTTCTTTCTGCCCCTCTGTACGAGTCCTCCCTGGGGCCAGTAAGCACGGAGCAGTCATCTACCTCCAAGCGTACTTGCCCGTGCTTGAGGAATGTGTGCTTCGATTTCTGAGTCCACATGGAGGGAGAGTCAGAGGCTCAGGATGCCCACACGTGGGCTCACACATGGCACAGATAGCAAAGGGACCAGGGAAAGACAGTGCCAGGTGACTTACAGATTATTCTCTTCGCCCAAGGTTAAAAGATGGCTTACCTGCCCTTGAGAAATCTGCCCGGTATCTGGTTCACGGCTATTCGTTAATGATCAAAGATGTCACCGCAGAGGACGCCGGCGAGTACACCATCCTGCTGGCCACGAAACCGTTCGCTCTCTTCAGAAACCTCACCACGACACTCATTGTAAATGGTAGGCTCGTTGTTTGGGCTTTCTTCTGGCTCTGGTAGGAGAGACAGAAATGAAAACATAGAGATTTTAAAAGTCAGTCTAAAGAGAGAGAGGAGACATCAGGGAGTGGGTGAGGGGTAAATGAGTGGGGACTTTGCTAAGGGCTTTGAACCGTGGAATCCAACGTTGATGATCTGAACTGTACCCCCTCACACCCACCTCATTTATAATTTAAAAAAAATTTTGTGATATTTTGTCATATGTAGTAGAAGGTTGATTTCGGGTTTTCCTGTGATTTTTATTAATGATAGCTTAGGATAATCACACTGGCCAACACACATTTTAGTGCCTCCGATGTTAGACTTGTTTCTGGGTGTGTTTGGCCTGCTGATTCCATAAATGCACCAGTTTCCCCCTATCAGCACTAGTTTGTGAGACACAGAACAGGGGCCATAGACCACGCGACACTCTGCTCGCCCATCAAGAAAAAGCCCGATATCCCATGTAGCGTTAGCTAGCCTCAGGTAGAGGAAGTGCATGCTGGCTGTACTTTAAGCAGTTTGTGTTGTGAATATTTAGGTTAAGTGATGCTTCACATGAGCTCCTTTGATCCAAAGAGATATTTGAAGGGTGCAAATCACATGAAGTTGGAATTTCCCCCCCAATAGCACGTTCATTAGGAACTGAATAGCAGGCGGTTCCAATTTGTCATTTTATAAAGGGGGCAGAAACAGTGACAATTCAATAAATAAGGAGCCTTAATGGTGTATTAAGGAGCCCTGGTGGTATAGTTGTTGCACGCCTTGGGCTAAGAGCTGCATGGTTGACAGTTCGAAACTACCAGTAGCTCCTTGGGAGACTGACAGAGCTTTGTACTCTTACAAACAGCTAGTCTCGTGAACGCCCAGGGGGTGTCGCTGCGAGTCAGCGCTGACTTGATGGCTGTGAGTTTGGATCTGGAATTGCACATGGGATGATGTGTTCGACTGCTAGCCACAAGATCAGCTATTCAAGCCCACCAGTTGCTCTGTAAGAGAAAGACGAGGCTTTCTGCGCCCATAGAGAATTACAACCTCAGACCCCACAGGGGAAGATCCACCCTGTCCTGTAGGGTCACTATACGTTGTCATCGAATCGGCTGGTCGTGAGTGTGGTACACTCAGTAGAGAGTCACATGTTTGGGAACCCGAAATGAATGGGTCTGTCAGAGTCCAAACGCCTTTATGAAAATAAACATCTTCCAGGCTTGTTATAAGATAGCACAACTGTGCACAAAAACTCTTAAAATCTAAGACGAGGTAGGATGTTCCTGATACAGGAGCTTTGGAGCCGACTTTACCGCTGAAGCATTGCACATGAGTGATCCATCGGCTTCTAGGTGTGAGAATGTGTTCGCAAATGTTTGCTGCGTAGTTTGAAGAAGAGAAGTGCAGATACCCAAAATGGTTATGAAAATTGCTACGAAGTCCTACAGTTCCGACCCTCCATGTCGCCCCCACACTTTCCATATGTGCCTCTTCCATTGTCTTTTGACTCCCCGCTCTTCGCAAGCCGAGCTCTGCCTTTGCAGTATCCAGCTTGCACTCTGTGTATATTGCACAGCCTCCCAGACCGAACAGAAACACCCACTGCCATGTCAGGGTCTAACTCTGGACCCCCGGGACAGCGAACTGTCCCACTGGGTTTGCAAACCTACACATCCTTTAAGGGCTGCAGAGTGACTGGTGGCTTTGACCCACTGAACTTACTACGATTGGCGGTTCGATGTGTAACAATTAAGGCTCCACATTACAATTTCCCCTGGAAGTCCCTTAATACTGATTTTTTCCCCCAAATATTTCTTCTTTTTCTTCTCCTGTAATGTGTGGCTCTGAATTCTTCTCAGATTTAAAACTAGCATGGTGAATTAATAAATCTGTGTAACTTAAGAGCAGACATATAGTGGAATACCATAGCCGAGAAACTCACTAGAGCTGATGCGGATTAGCCAGCACAATTTTCTGAATCAGCACCCCGAATAAACCCCAGGGACAGGCCTAAAAGCCAAGACATCAAGAAGAAATGTGGAGGGGAGTACGTCTGTGTGATTTATCATTTAAAAAGTTAATAAGGACAACAGGGTGTTTTGTTTTGTTTTTTGTCTTAATGACTAAAAGACTGACTCATTCTTGTCACATCAGAGCAACAATAGGAAAATAATAACAACTCTTTACCTTGATGCACAAACAAGCACATTGGAAGTTCACTTTGAATTGTTCAGGCGTTTGGTTCGCGTAACACCCTGACCTCAGACGCGCCCTTCTACCCGTGAGATCTCCCTGTGGGGCAGCGAGCCACAGGCAGAAGACGGGAATGCTTGACTTCGTAAAACAGAAGGGTGGGTGGGCCCATGTCTACTTCACAGAAATGCTTCAAATGTCCCAAGCATGCTGCTGAGGTTTCCAGAGAAAGCTCACTTGCACATAGCATTGGCCTTGACATTCACAGTGACGCTATGAGCTGCGAAGGGACCTTGGTGGTCCAGTGCTTGGAGTTTGAACCCAGCAGTCACTCCGTGGCCGAAAGACGTGACCATCTGCTTTCCTAAGGATGGCAGCCTTGGAAGCCCTGGGGACAGGTGGACTCTGTCCTGTGAGTTAGAATCGAATGGGCAGCATTGCGTTGGGTCTAGGGTTTCGTGACCAGACCATGTCGCTGTCACCATTCCACGACGAGAAATGCAGGTCTCGGCCGTGGGAAGCAATGGGGCTCAAAACCCCTTTTTAGCTGCTGGTGGGAAGGACAGCATGATTTTAGGTGTTTGTTTACAAATACCACTTACATTCCCATCATGATTTGTTTCCTGGTTCCTTGTTACTTTCCATCAGAACAACAAAACAGAGACCCCCACTGCCTTCAAGTTGATTTTGACTCCTAACCACCCTGCAGGGGAGAGGAGAACTTCCCCCGCAGGGTTTCAGAGATTGTAGCTCTTTCCAGGAGCAGCCAGTCCGTCCTTCTCCCACGGGGCAGCTGGGAACGGTCGAATGGCTGGCCTTGAGGTTGGCAGCCCGGGCTTCACTCCCAGCATCTTCCGGCGGCGGCATGCCGTCTGCCGGAGAGTTCCTCTCAGGCACAGTCCCCGTGGAACTGGATTTTGAGGACATTCAAAATCCGCCTTTGTTGTCCTTCTCCTTCCCAGTGAAGCCCCAGATTTATGAAAAAGCCGTGTCGTCGTTTCCGGAACTTACTCTCTACCCGCTGGGCAGCAGACAGATCCTGACCTGCACCACGCACGGCGTCCCGCAGCCCACCGTCCAGTGGTTCTGGAAGCCCTGCGGCCACAAGCGTGCCAAAGCAAGGTAGGGATGAGCGGGGCTCCGGCAACGCTCATGTCTTTTTTTTTT